GGTGTCTGCGTAGTGGCCATCTTGTTGTCGCCACGATGCTTGGCTCACCAGAAATGCAACCAAAAAAGGGTCTAGACTCTGCTTGGCCCCACTTATTTATTAAAAATGCGAGTATAGCTGGTAACCTGGATTTGTCGCCTGGAACTTCATCATGTCGCCAAACTTGGGCGTGTCAAACCATCACAAACTCATCCAAATCAGTCGAGTCAATGACAACTTCCTCCTCCTCCGACTCGTGATCCTGAGGCACATTCAGTAAGTTGCCAGACCGACCGGGCCCTAGCCCGTCAGAAGGATCATTGCTAACATCGACCGATCCCCTTAACGCCAAATCTTCCTCCTCCTCCCGCTCCTCTAAATACCCCACACTTGGAGAGGTGGTCGAAGCCAAATCCACCGTATCCATTTCCCACCCGCTGGCCCCGCTTCCGAAACTCAAACTGTCCCTTCGCCGCAACGAGGGCGGCATGGCCATGCGCGCGTCCATGGCGGCGCTAAGATCCGCTTCGAGATTGTCGAGCACTAGACTGGCGACTATGTCGTCCGCTGCAGTGGACATGATGGGGAGGTGAACGTGGGAGGTGCTGAACGACGCGGCGCGGAGACGCGGGGAGGAGCGGCCGGAGATGGGCTTGCATGTCTCTTTCCTTCGGATTCGCGGTTCAGGATACGTAATGGAAGTGAGGCGACGAGGTGTTCTGAACGTTTGTGATGGAACCGTGTGTTTGAATTGCTCAAACGAGTCGAATGATCTGAAGTGCCTGGCCTTGGCTGGCAAGAAGAGTCTTGCGCCTGTTCCTGCGAATCAAGAAAAAAGGATTATATATATGAGAAAAAACACGTCAGGCAACTTTACCCACTCACCATCCAATTCGTTCGAAAAGGGATTGTCGCCATTCCGCTTTGCCTCATATTCCAGGGTTTGTCCAAAGCCAAGGATCACGTCGCCGATACCGCCCAGGAGATTCGAGACAAGGGAGGCAGCCCTTTCAATGACGGACGCAATGGGAATCTGAATTTCCAGCGACGAAGTTCCTGTTGAAGAAGCAGTTGTCGGCATCATGGAATGGACCGTGCCTCCTGGCGCGCAGTTTCGTTGTTCGCCTGCATCGACTTGGGCAGCCACGTGTGTCGCAACGCTGCACTCAAACACTTCCAGCGCCGCCGATTCCACTCCCGAGACAGATTGCGCGGCATCGGTTGAACCTGAGTTGGCAGCAAACAGGAGGCTCGTCGGCAAGAAGCGCAGCAGCGTTTGCGAGACATACGCCTCGAACAGGATTCGGTCTGTGGCGGTTTGGAGCGAGGGAGCGGAGAGGGGAGCGGAGAGGACGGGCGCCGGTCAGATGCGCAACCATCCGTCTCGATAAGATACGCAACTGAGCTCGGACACGTCGGCGTGCGACAGAGACGCCCGTCGCTGGCGCTTCGCTGAGACGCCGCGACTGGTTTGCGCCCCGTCGCTCGAAACCTGGCGCCCAGTGTCGACAGCGGCGGTGGCACTGCTGCTGGTCTGGGACGTCTGCGTCGGGAAATGCTCGCACTCGGAGGAGGATGGGGGTCGTCTGGCTAGCATTTGGAAGCTCTGAGGCCGGATAAAGGAAGCTTTGAAGGACAATGGAGAGGGATCAGAGGGGCAATAACGTCAAGCCGTTGCCAACAACTCAAAATTTCGATTTGGCGGATGAATGACGCCACTGTACATCTCCATCCATATCACCCAGAACCGAGCCAATGTACGCATCAAAAATATATAAAATTGGGATGAATGAGGAAACTACAAACAACTTCAAGCCAAATACACGTATGCCGCAGTCTCCCCACTTTCCCTCTCGAGATACTCTCGATCAATCAAAGACTCGATTCTCTTCTTCAAGTCGGGTGCCTGCACAACGAGGGAGATGAATACTTCCAAGTGAGAAAGGAACTCAGAATTAATTCACCTTGATGGGGAACTTCAACTGCTCAAACAGCTCCGCTATCAAAAGCGTATGCGACAGCTTCTTGCGTGTTTTCATGATGCGCACAATGGCCGCATCTACCTGATACTGTCGATCCGCAAACACCTTCTCCGTCGTATCCTTTTGCTCCTCAGTAGTTTCCTTCATCTGGATGCTGTTGACCTTGATGCGATAGAGCGGGTTATCAAACGCTGCGTTGAACTCAAACGAGTCTGTGACAGCAATGTCGCGGCCTTTTGGTGTTTTGTTGAGGACGCGCACTTTGCCGCATGCGAGAGACTGAAGGGTGCGCTCGAGCTCATTTATCTCCATGGAGGTGGAAGCAAGTATTTCTTTGTACGTGAGGACGGGAGAATCGTTAAAGAGGAGTAGGATGGTGGCTTGAAACAAGGAAACGGCAAGCTCCTTTGTGCCCTTTTTGAATGATCCCTTTAACACGCAGTGACCGAGTTGATTCTGCCATGTAAGGCGGCGTCCACTGTGTTTGCTCAGGTAAAACTCGGCGTAAACATTTTGGCAACGTTCGAGCTGTTGAAATTGGTTCAGTGATATTGTAAATACTGTTCGCCAAATTACCTCCACCGGAAGCGTCAAGGGAGCAGGCGGATACGTCGGCCACATACCAGACGTTAAAAAGTTAACGTATACCTCAACAGGCCCAAGTTGTTGAGCCAAACGCGGAGACTAACGTAAATAAGTGAGTTGGTGGAAAACGCTGCAATCTTCTTACCTGCCGAAACATGGCAACAATATCCTTGGAAGTTTCAATATCTTTAAACATGTTCTCCAGCTTGGAGGTGAAGGCTGCCCCACATTCTACCTTCAGCTTCATCAGCATACTCTTCTCAGAATCAACGCTGGCACTCTTGCCCAGCAGGAGTCGCTTCGCGAGATCTTTCTTGTAGAAGGCCTCAAAGACATCTTTCCCTAAGAAATGAGGCGGTTCATCAATGCACAGAGTTGAAACAGCCGAACGTACCATGAATAAACCTAAACAAGCTCAAACACTGGTCCAACACGTCCTCCGTCTCCGCCTCCGTGATCCCTTTCCCGCTCTTCATGATCGCATCCACGTGCTTCGCAATCAGCTCCGCAGGCTTGTTGTGCCGCTTGTTGATAAATTTCTCAAAGGCCTCGCGAATGGCATGCGCAAAGTCCTTGCTGGAGCCGAAGGCCGTCACAGTCAGCGACTCCATGCGCTTTTTGAAGCCAATCAGGTCCGGAATCATTGTGGGGTCTCGGGTCACGTCGTTGACGATGGCAGAGCCGAATTTCTTGATGCGTATGTTGTTTAAGTTGACTTGGACGCAAATGAACCAGTGAACGTACCACGACGTAGTTGCCGAAGCTCTTGCGCATCTCAGTGAGACCGTTCGATACACGCGAAAAGAGAGCATACATGCGCGTGAGGTCCTCCACGCGATCCTCTTGAATCAAATCATCGAATCCTTCAAGAAGTTTAAGTCGCAACGCAACAATTTGACAGTCAAGAAATCTCACCTCGCTGCAAGAGAATCTGAACGCGATGCTCCACGAGAGTCCTTTCTACTATGGCTACCGCGCCTTTCCTTGTGGCAATGCTCAGATATCCATCTGATGAAGACAGTCCCCCGCCTCCACCACAACGCAGCTTTTCCTCTTCAATACGTCTCTCTGAATGCTTCAAATAGGACGCAACTGCAAGCCCATTCAGCGCGTCATCCCCCATGGAATTGACCAGTTTCGCGCTTTCGGATATATAAAAGGATTCTGTCACGGCCAGGAACCTTGCTTCAAAGACGTTCATATAAATTCCAAGGTCCAAGAACATTTGAATGAGCGATTTCAGCAGGTGAGAGGGTATTTGTTGCCCAGACCTTGGTGGGGACGTTTGTGAGAAACGTAGCGCTCAGGTATTGACAACCGACCGTTCACTTTCGATTGTGGTTAAAATGGAATTCACCACACAAGTTTTGAAGGGTGGAATCAATGAAGACTCTGAATCCGGTAACACAGTTTTAGGGGACTGTGACTCGTCAAGATAGCTGGAGCGGAACACATCCAACCCCATATCCCAAATGGACTTGACTCCCTGAGTTTGAATAACGTAGGTGCGATCCAAATACAAGAAAATGCTTCGAATCATGATCTGAAAGGGAGAGTGATGAGGGATGAGGTTTACGCCCGCGGTTTCGATTTGCAAATACGCAAGAGAACCTGGCAACGACAGTACTGTTCCCAAGCGTCAAATAACTCTTTCAGAAGTGCAAAGTGGTCTTGCGCCGTGTTGCTGCAGCCAAAGTAGTGAGGATTTCAAATAGACCAGGCAGAACTCACCTCCTTAGAACGCTAAATACGCGAGTAACGTGGTCCGCGCATGTACGATTGAGCATCGCGTACACTTCACGTCCACTACCGTGGATGCATAGATGCTCACATGTCTTCATATTTCGCAAGGTCGAGATCGTATTACCCTATTACCCTGACACTGTCACCATTCCGGCAAAGAGCTACGCACCTTGTAGAGTTCTTCGAGCGAAGATGATATGCCTGTCTGAGCGTAGATGCAAGCGACTGCACGCTCGAGGGACGCGAGGGAGTCTGCGACGAACGATTGAGGCACCTTTGGTTTTACTATCGAGCCGCCATTAGGACATTGCACCCATAGAGAGGAACGGCATAGATACCTTTGAAGCCCTTAATGGAAAGCCTCTTTTGCGGGGGCGGAGCGTCAGAGAACATGCTGGACGGCTTTGAGAAGGAAGACGAGGCGGCGGACGATGATGCGCTCAGCATCGACCGGACGGATGCGGATGCGGAGACAGAGACGGTCGAGACGGTGGTGGCGGCAGACGAAGGGGCGAGGAAGTCGGTCAGTTTGCGCTTCGTCGCTGGGTGCGATTTGCGCATCACTTCGCCATCCCGTTTCCCGTCCACTACTTTACTCCCCGCAAAATTAGTGCATCAATAACGGCAAGCGAGCATATTTGCTGGAGCTAAAAAGTTTTTCTTCATACTAATAAAACTTTGGTGTTAATATATATTTCCGAAAGACCCGGAGCCCTTATAGCTCAGCGGCAGAGCGTTCGCCTCGTAAGCGAAAGGCCCGTGGTTCAATCCCGCGTGAGGGCAAAGACCAGAAATGTCTTTTTGTCTGATGGGCACATGGTAATTTGTTCTCTCGCCCTTCCCTTTTCTTTTCGTACTCAGTGGGATTTACGCGAATCGGGAACACAATTGTCAACAAATCGTCCTTCTGAAGTGATCGCACAATTGATTGATTATGTCATCCGATCCAAAAGGGAACTTTGTATTCGGTGCTTGCGGTGGCATCTGCAACGTTCTCGTGAGTCATCCATTTGATCTGGTGAAAGGTGAGGCTGCATCACGTGCACGTCGGATGGGATTGATGACCATGCAAGTTTGACAGTTCGGTTGCAATCGCCTCAATTTGGATATCGCAACTCCTTTCACGCAATATCATACATACTTCGCAGTGATGGTCCACTTGGAATGTATCGCGGCGTCTCTCCCGTCCTCCTGGGCGCTGGGCCAATCATGGGCTGCTGCTATCTATCCTATTCAACAGCACTCGCTTTTGCGCATACTTCTGTTCATGGATCAACACCTGTTCCGGAAGGTGTGCGCGTGGTTGATACGCTGCCAATTCAATACGTGGCCTTGGCAGGAGCCTGTGCTGCGATCCCAACGTCACTTATTATGGGCAAGATGAAGAGTCTCCTTAAGGCCGGGATATAACATTCGTCCAACAGGCCCTGCGGAACGTATCAAGATCCTCATCCAAGTTCAGACCAAGTCAACCTCCACATTCAAAGGACCCGCGGCCATCTTCAACCCCCTCGCATCGATCTGGACTGCCATCATTAGCAACGGCGGTTTTAAAACGCTCTTTCGCGGGACGGCGCTGACAATGATGCGCGACTTTCCGGGATATGCGGCCTATTTCGCGACCTTTGAAGGTGTCAAGAGGCTGTTGAAGGAGCATGCGCCCGTGCCGCGGCATGCGTGGGGATCAGACAAGTATAATTTCAGTCCTCTGCAGACTGTTTTTGCTGGAGGTCACCTGCACAAAATTCATCGGTAAATTGCTGATAATTCTCAACTTTGGATGTTACAGGACTATCCGGATGCGCCTGCTGGCTTGTATGCATACCCATTGACTCAATCAAAACGCAAGTTCAGCAGAGCAATGGTGCAACAGTTTTGAGCGTGTTGCGGAATCAGACCAGTTTGTTCAAACTTTATAGGGGATTAGGCCCGGTTCTAATCCGAGGTAAGAGTTTAATTTAAGGAAGTTCTCGATGACAAATTTTTTTGGCCCCTCAGCCTTCCCTTCGTCGGGCGCCTTCTTTTTGGGTGTGGAGACTGCAAGAGCGGTATACGAATCGTCGTCTTGAACGTTAAACGTGAATAAAGAAACTCATGCATGATGAGGGAAGTTCTGTGAGTGTCTTTGCAGGAAATGAATTGAGGAGATGGAGGTGGCAACAAGGCACTTGCGCGATTTACTGACTGGCTTCATCGTCTGCGAAATCGCACATCTTCCGTTATTCTCTTTTAACGTTCAGCGCTGTTCGCTCAATAAATTCGTGAGGTGCGTGCCTCGATGTCGATCGTGTTGATTGGAGCTCTACCATGCAAATTGGATTTTTTCTCATAGAAACCTAGACACTCCTTAGATGCAGTTCGCTAAGCTCCTCGCCCTTGCTGCCGTCGCCGTTGCCAGCAACGTGTGAGTACCTTACTGAATGCCATGTGCTCCAAGAGGCACAGAGAAGCGAGTGCGAGCAGGTCCCAGCAAATGCTGTCGATCTTGGCTCCAATTTACGAATACGGTGGGAGGGGCATGCATGCGGTGGACGACAGGATGGACGTATCATTGGACGGATCGGAAGGGAAGTCGGGGGACGACAGGTGCCCCACTGTGGAGTGAGCACCAGTGAGGCTGGCGTCGATGCACCCACTGATTTAATCAATCCGTTGCTGACGTACTGATTTTTGCAGGCCCACCTACGTTGCTCCTGCCCCAGTTGCCTCCTCCTACGTGGCTCCTGCTCCCGTGGCTAGCACATACGCTGTGCCCACCCCTACTCCTTCCGCGAAGACCACTCCCCCGGCCAACAATGTGCCAACCTCCATTTACGT